TCGAATTAAAATTATAAATTATTTATTAATTAGATACATAATATAAGGGTAGGAGGCTCTCGGAGAACAGACTGAAGTCTGTATTGCTGCAACAAAGAAAAACGTTATAAATCTACAACACAAAGAACTTTGTATTGTAAGTTTTTGGTGTTTTCACTTTTAAAATAAGTTCTGTACAGATTAATTCTGGACGATTAAAATTATATTGAAGTTATTTTTTTAAATCTGTTTCGTGTTTCTTCTGATTAACATCGATGAGGAATATTAATCAAAAGAGCGATGTTCGGTAAATAAGTATAAATGTATAACGTGTCGTGTGGATGCAGATGTTCTGTGTTGGCTGGCTTTGATAATTAGCCATTAAGGAATAAAAAAAAAAAAAAACAGCAAGAAAAAGCAACGGCTGAGGTACTTCTAGAAGCAGTTCTAATTGCTTAGAATGATTATACATTGTAAAACATATGCCTGCAAACAATTATTTTTTTTACTTCAATGTCGTTTTCTTTCTTACTATAAAATATTTAAAAAGTTAATGGTATTTTTAAAAAATGCATATTAATTTACAAATAATTACAAATATTTTAAGAGGTTTCGGTGAATAGGAATCCATTTTTATTTTTTTATTTGTAGTAAACTGCCTCCTCTTCAGTGGCGCATTATCTTATGGGCAAAAGGGGCAATTACTTGGGGCCTTAAACCAATCCTTTATAAGAAAATAATTCCTCATTTAAAGAAAAACATGATAGAAATAGCCGCTAAATAAATAAAGTTTACTTTCATACAAAGTACGAGATTATTTAAGAGCGATCTCTGAACCATAACAAGATCAAAGTTGACAATTATATCTACATAAATATTTTTTTTAAAAAAAGTTAATATTTCAAGAATTTCAGACTATTTTCTATAACTAACACTCCTTAAAACATATCCTAACACTCCTAAACCTTTATTATATCTTTTGTCAGGAAGGAAAATCTATAGGCCAACCGCGGTTCCGTTATATTACTATATTACCTTGTTCCTCGTTTTAAATTTTAAGTTCCCTTTGGCACCTTTAACGACCTTCCACCCTGTCCAGAGAACAATATGTCAATGGTTTTGTTCTTGCATTTCACTTCTATACTAAATTATACACTGGGTTATAAGCCTGCGTGTGTTCGGGTATCCAGCTGTAGGTTTAAAAAAAACGCCTCTGGCTATCCCATTTTCGATATTGTTACACTTCAGTCAATAGAAATTTCATATTTATGTTCACAAAATTTATAATTATTATATTTTAAATATATAGATTTATCGATTATTTACATTGAAACTGAAATGAATTATCTTTTCGAATGGAAAGTAGAAAGAGAACCAATTCTTATCTAATTTAAATTCGAAATCTTACCATTTATCATAGTCAAAATGTTCAATTTTCTTTATACAAATTGAATTTTAAATTGTCTTTTTTTAGTGAAATTGGTTTTTTTTCGAAATGTCTTATGGAGTAAAGAAAATGAAAACGTGATAAGTTATTATTAGTGACTTTAAAAGATGATAATAATGTTTATCCAATTGTTAAAGGTGGAAAGATCTTTCTGAGTGTCTAAATCAATGTCAGAAAGGAATTTGAAATTAGAAACCGGAGAGTGATGCATACACAGCCACCTGCTAACGTTGGGTGGTATATTTCACTCGTTAAGTTGGGTCAAACCCCATAAAGCTGTAGAATAAATTGCACGTTACTTCTAAACTTAGAAGTAAAACACAAATTTTTAACTCGAATAATTAATACTTTAACTGATGAATTTTCTAATAAATTAGGTTATAAAATTTCCTGTAATCTATGAATTAATTAGACAAGTGTTTAGATATTTCCTTTTTAAATTAGAAGTAAATAAATAACTAAATTTACATTTAAGATCATAAATTTTTTCTTGTGGATTTAATAAAATCGTTGTTTAGTTTATTTATTACGTCATTTTGTCTGTAAAAAGTGTAGATCCATCGATCTGTTCTACATAATAATATCGATCTGACAGTAAAAATTTCGTGGTAATAATATATTTATTGAATTATCGTGTGTATTAGTATTTACATTTGAATCTGTTTACAGTTTTGAATAGATCTATTCATTGATTCGAGTGTATAAAAAAAGGCTAATTGAAGTTTATAAAACTAAAAAGTCAAATCATTTATTATATAAAATACCGAAATATAGTTAAATTTTCATCGTATTCTTTTGTTATAACCTAAATAAATGTTTGTACAGTATTAGGAAATATAACTTACTCATTCTCGTTTGTAATCATTAATTAATTTCTAAAACATATTACGATATTTCCTGAAATTTGACCCCAAATAGTTCTATCCATTAATCACTATTCGTGTTTACGGTTAATATTAATAATATTAATCATAATATACAATTTATAAACTATAATATGATCTATTACCCTTCTTAGTATACAGAACAGTTCTTTATTTATAGACTAGAGAAAATATAAATATATGAATAAGTTTTAGCTGTTCTTGATCCAATTGTATGCTTGCAAATGGGATATTATACCCTAATAATACAATTTTAAAATAAAAAAAAAGATAAGTATTTGATGAAAAAGTTAAAAATAATCTAATTAATCAGTGATTATCGTTGTTATTCGCAGATAAAGTCGAACACCATAGAACATCTGCATAGAAACAATTCCAGATGTCACGCATTTAAACAATAGAAAACACGAAGAAGGAGACGGTTAGATCTGTAATTTTAAGTTATAACCGAAAATAATTCTCTCGATAGAGCTTTTAATTTTCAAGTAAAGGCATTTAAAATCAATGAAATCATTACCTTTCAAGCTTACAAGTTGTTTTAATAAAAGTAACGGTAAGTAGAAAGAAAATTAATTAAAGTTTAATCTTATAAATTAATTATTAGAAATAAATATATATTGTGTTATTTTATTAACCATTTAGTAATAGGAATTTATGTGTATATTTTAAGAAAACTGTTGGTTAATTCGTCAGTACGTTCGATTATACTGCAATAAATATAACAATTGAACTTTGATACGAAAGCAATTATTTATGAACTTAATTTACACTTCGTGTGACTCGCCTACCGACGATCTATGCTCAATTTGGTCCTTCAATCGAAAAGTTTGGACACCGTTGCAAAGATAATTTTAGGGAAATGTAATTAAATTAAAATGATAGATTTCCATATAATTCGTTAAATATAGATTATGTTATATAAAAGAATAAATACTACGTCATTCTGTAAAGAATAATGCAGTATTTGCAGTTTCATTATAAAATGAAATTGTATAATATACTGCATTTTAATTTATTGATGTTTATTTTTTTTACTAATAACTGATTTATAGTATATTAAAGTTATTGTGTTAGTCTTTGAGCTCATTATTGTATATATTTATGATGTTTATTTGAATTTTTGTATAAATAACTAGGTAAGTTGAATAATTTATGTACAGTATAACAATTACTATCGATTTTAGTCTTGATTTTTAACTTCGGTTCGATTTTAACTTTTAACCTCTTCCTCCTCTTTCTCCTGTTCCTCTTCCTCCTGCTCCTCCTGCTCCTCCTCCTGCTCCTCCTGCTCCTCCTCTCCTCTCCCTTACAAACCGCATTTTTATCATTCATATAAACTTCTCAATTAATTTTAAATATTTAAAATATATTTATATTGAATATATGCAATAAAAACCCTAAAAGAAATATATTTTTTCGAAGAGAAATATAGAAATGATAACGATTCCGAACGTAACATACAATAGCTTATATTGCCTAATATGTGCTGTATTTAGAAATGTTACGAATATGATATGATGCAATACGAATAGTAAGAAATAAATACCAAATAATATATTTCACAATGAGATTGTCGTTTATTTAAAATATTTGGACTATTTTTAAATAGCTCAAATATAGAAGTGATGCAAAGGGTTTTAATGTCCTAAATATTAGTTAACATTTGGTGATATTCTGCTCCACTATTATAAATTTTAAATGTTTAAAAAAAAAAGACTTCTAAATAGAAAAACATTACTGCTTATTATCCATTCACCTTTTAGTGTATTGTATAATGATTATACGAATTTTTTTTTTTATGATCATTTCTAAATATGCGAGACAACCAGCAGAGAATTTAATGATTGTTTACTAGGAAGTTCAATTTCTCATTAACAACCGTATCAAACCGATAAACATATTTCGCATCATTGAAAGTGTTGTAGACAGGAAAAGAGTGTACTGTACCTACGCTCTGTTTGTGATGGATTCATCAAAAGTAGTTTGGCAAGTATCGAAGTGGAAAAGCAACGTGTTATTACGATTAGATGCAAAAGTAAACTATAAAGGGACTTGTTCCGCTAGTTCCTTAATCTAATAAAATTGAAAATTTAGGTTAAATGATTACTATAATTAAATTTGGCTATAGATTTTAAAACTCTATATTCAATTAAGGCTATTGTAATTATATAATTTACAAGTTGTAAAATTAGTTTTTATTGGCTTGATAAGTTTTACCAAATATTATACTATAAAGATAATAAATATAAACTATAACAATACAATTTGAGACTTTTCTCGCCTGTTTAACGAATAGATTAAGAAGGAAACAATACGACCCCGACATGAGGGGAGAAGACGTTGCTGTAGTAACGGGTCTGAAGCTCTGAACCCTTACAGGGGGCCTAGAGCCCTTTTTTTTATGTTTCTCTGCAAAGACGTGTTGTATCTTCTGTGATGTGTGGAGGAGAGAATACGAAGAAATCTCTTCCAAATAAAAGGATTGGTGGGTCGGATCCTGTTGGGTCGTTGGCAAGTGAAGAAATATGCTTAGAATATAATGTATAGGTCTAATTAAAAAAATAAAATCTAAATTACATAGAGGAAAGTTGACTACTTTTTTAAAAAAAAACATTAAAACATTACCATAAAAACGCAAAATTTATTAAATCTAGAGAAAATATAAATATATGAATAAGTTTTAGCTGTTCTTGATCCAATTGTATGCTTGCAAATGGGATATTATACCCTAATAATACAATTTTAAAATAAAAAAAAAGATAAGTATTTGATGAAAAAGTTAAAAATAATCTAATTAATCAGTGATTATCGTTGTTATTCGCAGATAAAGTCGAACACCATAGAACATCTGCATAGAAACAATTCCAGATGTCACGCATTTAAACAATAGAAAACACGAAGAAGGAGACGGTTAGATCTGTAATTTTAAGTTATAACCGAAAATAATTCTCTCGATAGAGCTTTTAATTTTCAAGTAAAGGCATTTAAAATCAATGAAATCATTACCTTTCAAGCTTACAAGTTGTTTTAATAAAAGTAACGGTAAGTAGAAAGAAAATTAATTAAAGTTTAATCTTATAAATTAATTATTAGAAATAAATATATATTGTGTTATTTTATTAACCATTTAGTAATAGGAATTTATGTGTATATTTTAAGAAAACTGTTGGTTAATTCGTCAGTACGTTCGATTATACTGCAATAAATATAACAATTGAACTTTGATACGAAAGCAATTATTTATGAACTTAATTTACACTTCGTGTGACTCGCCTACCGACGATCTATGCNACAGCCCGGCACACGTATTTGTAAAATCTAAGTGACTCGTACAACATGGAATTCATATAAAACGGAATTATCAACAGTGTTATAGGGGGGTCGACTGTTAATCTGGATAATGTATTTTATTGTTTTTATTCTTAGTTTAATGTATGTAATTTGAATTTATAACTAGTTTTAAAACTAGAAAGATAATTAAATTATTCACTTTTTATTTGTTTGGCTTCGGAATTAACTTCGGGTTTATAAGTTTCGTTTTAGTTCTTATCAATTGATTTTGATTACGTTTAGTCGATAATTCTAATCTCTATTCGATGCTGTAAAGTATCTTACAACACTAAAAAATAGCCTGAAAGCGTAAGCATTATATCTTTACTATTATACTCTTCGTTAATCCGAACTATCACTGGTCTCAGTTCGTTCGGATTAGCGCGATCGTACTTTATGTCTAATAATTATGTTAAAAATAAACTTATTTTATTCAAATACTAGAAACGTTCGTAGGTTCTTTTAGAATAGACGTACTCCCGATGATTCATATGTTAATTCTCTTGTATAATCAACAAAAATCAAATTTTTTATTGCTATAAAAGATAAAACAATTCAATAACTTTATCTGTAAAAAGATCTGTTTTGCTATATTCTGCTGAATCACGTATCCATCTAATGTCTAAAAAGACAACATTACTGGAAGATGGCTGCTATGATAAAAAGTACATAAACCGTTTTGGATAAATTTCATATCGATCTTTTGAAATGCGATTGATAAATATCACAAAATATGACACAAAAATAAGTGCCATTCTGAGATTTTTTTTTATTCCATTGAATTCCAGGATAAATAATGATTAGAGAGAGAGAGAGAGAATCTTTCACTGCTGATTTTTAATACAAAGTTCATTAGGTTATACGCTGTCGTCTCGTATTTGATTGCAGTTTTATCGACGTTTTACTGCAATTATAAAACGAAATTTTTAAAGTATTATTGATATATTTTTTTAATTTATTATCGAAGAAAGTGTTTTTTTTCCCCAATCTCCATTGGTTTAGATTAAACAGAATGTTTGCGTATAATAAGTTAATTAAGTACACTACACGAACGTGTTTCTCGTTCACTATTGACATTTTCCTATTCAACTAATCATTATATTTAAAAATCTAGCAAAATTAGAGATTATTATAAGCGATTTATATTATAAATTTTATCAGAGACGACATCATTTCTCTCTAATTCATTATAATTAACTGGCAAACACGAAAGAATCCAAGGGAGCTTACAAAGACCTTAATCCCTCCCATTGACACACATAAAAGATTAAAATTTATTTTTAAAACATTTACTATGATAAATATATTTATTATGATCAGAGCATAAAATAGGATGAAATTTACTATGATAAATATATTTATTATGATCAGAGCATAAAATAGGATGAAATCTGAAAAGTTTTCATTTTATTATTTTTCCTGTGTTCGTTAAAAGAGTAAAAATAATTTAAATTTTCGATTCTGGTGCAGTTAAACTGCAGGGAGATTTGCATTATGCACCAAGAACACGGGGGTTCGAGGGAGAATAGGTACTATACCTTATATAAAATGCTACTCAGTCGCGTCTTTTGTGAACATTTGTTTGCTGAGGGGCCTCAGATACAGTATTTTCTCAAATGTATCCTTTAGAAAATCATAAAGACAAAACAAAAATCAAAGGATTCTTATGTAAATATTAAATTACAGATATATTGTAAGTAACTTTTTAAGGTGTTCAAAAATAAATAAACCGGTTTTTAATCCTAATGAAGACGATGACACGTATAGTTCTGTTAAAAGATGATTCTGGAATAATATTTTTCAAAGTCATTCGAATTATAGATTTTAGAGATTAATCGCTGGCCCGTAAAAAGATTAAAAAATCACTTCGTGTGACGTAATAATTGAATATTCACAAGAGTTAAAACATCTTATTCAAATTTGTAAGAAGAAATCACTCAAGCAGAAGTCGTGAATCATCTAATTATTCTCTCATCTATGAATACAATTTTCACTTTAGTATATTGTAGACTTGTAAAGATTCGACAGTACTCGAATTTCTTGGGGTGTATACTACTAAACTTACTTCTAGGAAACTACTTTGGAAAATAGGAAAAGTATTTCGAAATATACTAGATAAGACTAGGAATGGAAGAGAATTGGAAATGCTTATCTATATTGCTTTTCTAAGGTCATCGGAAAATTGCTTTGCTGACTGATAACGAGAAAAAGAAAAGAAAAAAAGTTATTTACGAATAACGAATTGAGATGTTTTAAGACGATCTTTTGCAATTTGACAATTGCGAATTTAGCTGGAAAGTATAGCGTGACAGACAGAAATCTCGATTTTAGTAACGTGGTTCTTGCCAAACTTGATTAAAAAAAATTGATTGTCTCACGTGAATTCTCTTCAAGGTGAAAATCTCCCGATTAACTTATAAAAACGGGTATTATACAACTGAGATTTAACGTCACGGTATTGAAAATCACTGCGCTGGTTTCTTTTCTTCTTTGAAAAAAAAAAAACAACTATTAATGTTTTGCGTGTTAAAAAATATATATTGCAACCGCATTACCTATAAAATATACGTAAAAATTTTTATCTCATTTATGCACAGTAGTTGAGGATTGTTGCATTTGACATGGTGATAGTTTTTAACCATTGTATTTCGCATCGAGTCAATGGCCTGTCTTACTTTTGACACAAGTAGAGAAGGTCAAAAGGAAAAACTGGTTCAGCAGCTTCACTCTCTCGAATATATTCACTCAAGCAACCAAATGAATACAGGTAGAAGTTGTCTGGAAAGATATATATATATATATATATATATATACACCATTAAAAAACACCCCATTAACACCAAGGTTCTTAATTAATCAACGATATCATCAATCTAAATAGTAATATCGAATAATAATTTATTTAAAAGAGGGGATGCAAAATAATTTTAAACGTGGGTGTAATCGGTTATTGTTAAAAACAATATTTAAAAAGCTAACATTGCACCTTTTTATAGTTAAAAATTCTACATTTGTTACTGGAAGCTGATCTTCAACATCTATAAAGTTGTCCTGGAAAGTAGTCGGGCTAACAAGAACTAGTTTTTATTTTTTTATTTTTTCTCTGTTATCTTCTAACTCGTCTAACCGGTCTTCACCTGCAAAGATTAACTATGGTCACGTGATTAGTATTTTGGCGGCAAACCTTCATTTCGTCAACATTGTCTTTTAGGAAAAGCGCTCGGTGAGTTTGCAAAAACATTACTTATATTTTAATTGCATTTAATATATTAATTAAATATAAAAAAAATGGTAAGTAATATAAATTTAAAATTTTATTGTATTACGTGTGTTTTCATCTGTGACGTCGATCACAAATTTTGCTTAATTTTAAATAGCGAATAGTCCATCCATATTTATAAATTTGAAGTATATTTTCCTCTTCTCTTCGAATTTGTGGGTCATCGTTTCAATTGCTCTCAATTGATGATTGGTAATTGCTTTTCCTGTCTGGGATTATTATTACTTGGTCAATGTAATGTCTGCTAAGCCAAAATGTACAAATTAAAAATTAAATTATATCGTAAGTATTTTAGTTTAATTATATAAATGAAATTGCAATTCTTCAGTTTCCTTGACCATATTCGGATTTTCTGATTAAAGGATCAATTATTTTGGCCACAATGCAATAATAATTAAGACAATTTGAAAAGTTCTTCATTGGTAACAGGTGCCAGTGTGATTTTTATGCTTGTATCAACGAGGTGGATGTCCAAAGACGAGAAGTTGTTAGGTGTCTGTAAGGGTTTTTAGTTGCACAGTCTATTGTTAGAAGAATCGTTCCTCCTCAATGATTTCTAACGCATCACTGGCTCGGATGATGAGGTCAGACTCAATTTTTATCTCCATACGATCGAGACGGACCGAGTGACTTGGGTGACTTAATTGCTAATAGAGTGACGAATTTTGATATTAAAGTGGCCACAAGACTATATATTTTTTTCTTTCTTTTAAATTTTATTTTAAGCCCGAATGGAAACGATGATAGTCGAGAAGCATACCTTTTGTATAGGAGAAAATATCATTCTGTTTACATCGAGCATTGTTATTTTTAATATATGTAATGCATAAAAGGGATCGAATGACAAAATTTAATCACCTTTTCTAACATCGCATTTATTAAGAGAGCATGCGTCGGATCCTTCAACGCTCTTTTACCCAATCAACTGATCCTCTTCAAGGTCAAATCCCTGGAAGATCTTTTGACCTTCTGCATCCCCAGGAAATTCGTTAGCAAAACGCACCTTGGGACTTTGAAACTGCCTAAGGTTTTCCTTTACAGTTGTATCCATATGGTTAAACACGAAGCTAATTTGTATTTTGCAACTAGAAGTAAAATTTGTTTTATATTCAAAGCGCATTCGGCTCGACATCATCAACAATTCGGAGTGTCCTATTTTGTAAACAAGAATTAGCTTTTCTCGAAGAAAAATGTTAAAGGAAAATAATTCTCTCTCTCTCGCAGCAAAATGTTTATTTTGATTCTCGAAGAAATCTCTTTTCTTTTTTTTTTTACAACGAAATATTTTCTTCCAGTGAGATATAAACAAAAGTCACTGACTATATTTCATTCGACCGAGTTATAAACATGTTGGCAAGTTAAGGTGTTTATTTAATATTTACATTTGGACGATTTAGCTTATCAGATTTATGGAGGAGTTTGTTTACATAAA